GCTGGGCATGGTGGCACGTGCCTGTAATCCCAGCTACTCGGGAGGCTGAGGCAGGAGAATTGCCTGAACCCAGGAGGCGGAGGTTGCGGTGAGCCGAGATCGCGCCATTGCACTCCAGCCTGGGTAACAAGAGCGAAACTCCGTCTCAAAAAAAAAAAAAAGAAAAAAAAATACAAAAATTAGCTGGGCATGGTGGCGCCTGCCTGTAATCCCAGCTCGGGAGGCTGAGGCAGGAGAATTGCTTGAACTCAGGAGGCAGAGGTTGCGGTGAGCCAAGATCGCGCCATTGCACTCCAGCCTGGGTAACAAGAGCGAAACTCCGTCTCAAAAAAAAAAAAAATGCATATTGAATTTCTAGAATTTTCTGTTCATACACCGATGGATAATTATGCACTCAACTGACCTTGAAACAAATATTCTAACCTGGAGTCAGCACTTAAAATGGTGATCCTAGACTGGTGATCCTAGATGTAATTCATGCATTTACATGCTCTCTGTCACATGCTGGCACACCACTGATTTATTGGAACCCTAAGTAGAGTTCAAATTTGTGCCATGTCTACGATTGAGCAAAATATAGTTTAAAAAAAAAAAAAAGACACTTGCTGTGTTTTATTTCCTGTGTCATGTTATACACCCCAACATATTTTCTCCTTTACGTCCATTTCTGGCATGCCCTGTTGTTACAGGAGTGATGAGTCATGGTTAGGGGGAATTGTAATAACTTATTCCATCTCTTAGTATAAGCCAAATGATGGACAATGTTGGGTTCTCAGGGGGTTATTTATCTTGGAGGTGGGGGGTACTGATCACAATCTGTATGACCACATGGCACAGATGTTTAATTATGAAGGTGACCTCAAGTAAAGCAAGCAATTTCTTGGTCTGACTATATCAAAAGTCAGCCAAATGTCCACCCAGTGGGCAAGCTCAGCTCCAGAAAAAATTATAACTGGAATGACAAGAAGTTTGATGGATCAGGATTGGAATAAACAGACAGGCTTGAGTGAGAGGTCTGGAGCCAGACAAAAGGGTGTGTGCTAGATGACAAGATGGGAAGTCTGGGCAAAATTACAAAGGGACAAGACACGTCAAAGCACCACTTGTATGCTTCTCTGGGCCCAAGCTTTTTTCATTTCCTCACTATGAACACTGCATCTGCAATTTTATATACATCTAGAGAATCAGTTACTCTTACAGCACCTACTGCTCATGGCCAGAGCCAGCCTTCAGCAAAACTGATGGAAAATGCTGAGACCTTCCAGCCCTTTTCCTCATTCCATTGGACTCTTCCATTCAGATATTTCTCTCAACCACATCTTAATGTCTCCCTTTAGTTTAGTGGTTTTCAAAGGGTGAAACCCGTGGCATCAGCATCACCTGAGCATTTGTCAGAAATACTCATTTCCAGGCCCCAGACCAGTCTGACTGATTCAGGAACTCCAGGCGCCAGGCCCAGCAATCTGCATTTTCTCAGTCCCTCCAGGTGATCCCATGCACACTAACGTTTGAGAACCACTGCTTCAGATAATATAAAATGACAACTTCAAGATGAGAGAGTACGTACATTTTAGGAGAGAACTTGTGAAGAAGGCAAGCCGCTCAAGGGCCAAATAAATCAGTTTCTAGTCGTGGAATCTGAAGTCATGTGACACATGGTGAAAGAGAGATTAGAGGCCACTGTATTTGTCCTGCCCTCATCACCTCTTGCTTTTTATCTCACCTATTTCAATCTTCTCTCCACATGGCCACTAGAGACGTGCGTTGTGCCAGAAAATCTGACGCTGTCAAAGCCCAACTCAAAACTCTTCAGTGGCTGCTCCCTGACAATGAGATAAAGTCCCAGTCCCCTAGCACACCACCCAGGGCCTTTCAACATCTGCCTCCGGGCCACCTCCTGACCTCGTTTCCTTCAGCACTTTTCCTCCTGCTCAGCCATACCTCGCTGTCTGCAGCTGGTTTAGACTTCTCCATACCACTGACAGCAGGCTTTGCCATGTAAGTTACCTTGACCAACAGCATGAGAAATGAAGTGACGGCTGCTATTTCTGAGCAGACTTTAGGTGCCAGAGTTTTGTTCTATCATGTCCTTTTTCATTTTGCCATAAATAAGATCCACATTGTCTCAGAGAGAGGCTGTTTCTTAAGCCTCAGTGGGTCCCAGAATGATGACAAATGAGGGGGAGAACAATCACTGACTTACACTGCACATACAGCATGAGAGAGAAATAAATCTTGGTTGTTGTAAATTACTGAGATTTGGGGGTTACTTTCTAGTTACCGTAAACTGACTGTAATAGTACTTTTGATCACTTCTCTCATTCTGTAATGTCTTCCCTTCTTTGCTCTGCCTTCTTTCCAATCCCACCTCACCCCTGACTGCACAAGAGACTTGCTTATCATTCTACACTCAGCTCAAGTGTTACCCCTCAATCAAGCTTTTTGTCTTCCCCAGGTATAAGCTTTAAGATCTTCTCCGGATGCTACAGACCTGTAACCATGTCCCTGGAACTGTGCCAGGGCTTCTCCATTCATTAGTATTATCCTTAGAACAACCTCTAAGAAAAAATAATAATGAAATTAAAAATTGAACAATTCATTTTATAAAGCAGAAGCCTGGCTTGGAAAAACAAAGTGACTTGTGGGAGTTTCCCTGTCAGTCACAGTTTGAGATCTCACCAGGTGGGGGTCTGGCTCTGAACTCAGGAATCTTTGCCCTGCCTAACACATCTCTCTTACTCCCCCTTAGCAGCAACCTTCAAATCCTCTCACTCCACTGGAGAGTAAAAGTCCCCTTATCAACAACTGAAAGGGCTGCCATGCTAATTTGAGACTTGAAAGATTGCATCTGGAAGTTGGCTTCTGCTTCTTACCTCCTGAGAAGATAAGCATTTCCTCTAAGTGAATGTATTCATTCCAAGGCTCCTGGCAAAAGCACAGGAGACCCTACAGTAACTGGGGTATTTTGTTTGCATCTTTCCCCAGGTCCTAGCCTGTGGGTTGGGCGGTAGCAGGTAGTATGGTGTGGTAAAACAGATTCCCACTGACATAACCCTAGAGAAGCTTTGAGAAGGTTCTTTGGGATTCGTCACAGGGTAGGAGGCAAGGGAGCAGAGGGTTCAAAACTCCAAGTAGGTCTGCTACATGTCGATGTTTTAAGTTTTGTTTTGTTTTGTTTTTTTGAGATGGAGTTTCTCTCTTGTTGCCCAGGCTGGAATGCAATGTTGTGATCTCAGCTCACCGCAACCTCTGCCTCCTAGGTTCAAGTGAATCTCCTGCATCAGCCTCCCATGTAGCTGGGATTACAGCACGCACCACCACACCCGGCTAATTTTGTATTGTTAGTAGAGACAGGGTTTCTCCACTGTTGGTCAGGCTGGTCTCAAGTGATCCATCCACCTAGGTCTCCCAGAGTGCTAGAATTACAGGCGTGAGCCACTGCATCTGACCAATAGTTTACGTTTTAAAAATAAAAATAAAAGGGGCCAATTATTTGATTCTTCAGATTAACCAAGAAAATAAAAGTGACACAGTGACAAACAATTAAAGCAGACCACCCAGGTCAGGCATAGGAAAAAAACACCTAAAAGTAGCAACTGCAATTTTAGGTTTCTATGAGCCACTGACATTTTTGTTGTGTGGTTGAGTTTTTCCTCTCTCTCTCTTTCTCCCTGCCTCTCTTTTTAATTTTACTTTTTCGTTTAAGGGAGGAGTAAAAAGTATAAAAACCTTCAAATACGTCCCCCAGATCAGCCATGCTAATGAAAGGTGAATATTTAACAAAGTACCATGATATTATTTTCACACAATATGTATACCTTTTTTTTCCAAGGGTCACAAAGCTTTTCTCAGTTGCTGGTTGGAATACATTGATTTCTCTAACCATCCCAATGAATCAGTTTTTTACTGCCCCACCAAAAGGATATGTTACCTTTAAAAGATACCATCATAATCATTAATAATAGCATTTTTTCCTTTCAAGTGTAGAAAGCTGTTCAGAGCTGCAAATGATTGCTAGGCCAGTTTGAACATGTCTGATTTACTCGTTAAAAGGCCACTCACTCCGTATAATAAATAATAAGAGCCATTATTTATTAAGTGCTTAGCGCTGAAAAACCGGTATTTTTCAGGTACTGGCTCATATAATCCTCAAAACAACGCTATCAGGCCGGTGCAATCTTGATCGCTACCTTACAGATCAGAAGAGGGAGGCACGGAGAGCAAAGACGACCTGCCCGAGGGGAAAACGGGGAGCGTCGGAAGAGGCGGGGAGGCAGGCAGAGGCCAGGAGCTGCACAAAAGCACAGTTAATGATTCACTCACAGCCCTCAGGCAGCTCCTTCCAGTAGGGGTTGCACACACACGCAGCACGAATGCACATGCACACACACGCACACGCACACACACACGCACACAGTCTCATCTTCAACTCTTCATCCCAGCGAGAGGCGGGTGTCAGGCAAATTGCTTGGCAACGCGCAGAGGAAACTCCATCCAAGCCCCGCGTCCAGGCAGCCTCTGGGCGCTGTCCAGCGGGCAGAGCGCCTGAGGCCAGGCAGGGGTCCGGCCTCCCGACACCCCGAAGGTGAGGCGCGGCGCCAAGGCCGGGCTTTCAGGCGAGGGGAGTGTGGGGGAAGCACCGTCCCCAGGGACACCTGTTGTCGCCTCCCCACTCTGGCCGATGAAGACATCCTGGGCGTCCCTAACTCGAAGGCACCCGTCGATCAAAAGTGTCTGTGTATGGGGCCGGCGGTCGCAGGAGTCCTCCTCCACCCTCATCTGCCTCAGGCAGAGTCCCTTCGTCCTCTCCCACCCCGGGACGCCAGCGGCTGGTGGAAACGCCGCGCCTCCGCGTGGCTCGGCGGGGCAGGCTCGGGGGCGCCAGGGGGCACGGCGGCGCTAGGACCTCGCGGCCGGCCCGCCCCCCGCCCGCTCCACCTGCGGGGCCCCTCTCGGGGGGCGCGCTCGCCCTCCTGCTGCGGGGCGCCGGGTACAGTTACCTGTGCCACGATCCGCAGGTCGCCAGCGTCCGCGGGAAGGTCGCCGCGGCAGAGCCGGCAGGTCTGGCCGCGGAATCCTCACCCGGCAGTGCTGCTCTCGCGGAGCTCCCTCCCGGCCGCAGCGCCGCCACCGGCTCCAGGGTCTAGGGCTCGCTCAGCGCCCGCCGGCTCCCGGCGCCGCTCCCGCCGCTCCTGATTGGCCGCGGCGCGCTCCCGAGCCGCGCTCTGATTGGACAGCCGGAGAGCCGGGGCGGGGGGACGGGTCGGGCGCCGCCGGGATCTGCTGGCTGAGCCTCCGCGCCGCAGCCTCGCTTCTCCGCGGTTCCCCGGGCCCCAGCCGGACGCCGAGGCCGGGATCCTTCCCCTCTGCGCCCCCTGGGGCCGGCAGTCCAGGCACGAGGCAACGCGGAAAGCATCGACGGGGAAATGGCAGGGAATGGGGAGCGCCTTGGAGTCCCACCCGCCGCGTCTGCGGGCTGGTGGTTGAGACCTCCTAGGAGCGGGAATCATGCTCACCTGGCCTCACTCCCATACGTTCATTTATTGATACTTTAGACTCTACGGAGGGCCTAGGCTCAGGACATTCGCTTGTAAACAGCGGGCGCCAGTTTGTTTTGTGGACTCATGTTGGACTCTACACCACCTCTCAGTGGTCCTACCTGAGCTCTCAAAGGGAGAGGAACTTGTTTAAGATCCTAATCACGACAACAAATAATTTAAAACACCGTGCTAGGTGTTTCGGGGGAAAAAAGAGAAAGATGGTGAGATCTTCGATTACAGGGAAGTTCATACGTAGCTAGAGAGATGAGGCTAGATAATGATAATGACCCTAACGTTTTTATGGTGCATATTATTTACTCGACATTATTCCAAATGCTTCACATTTGTTTATTCAGAAATACAGAAGAGGCTGTCATAAGAATGTTCATACGCCCCGTGAACATGTGGACAAGTGACACTAGTTTTTAGTCTGGAGAGATTTTCACTGGCACTGGTTAGAACCGAGAGTGTATAGGGAATCCTAATTGTTCTGTCCTCCGTCTCTTCTCCCATCTGTTCTGAATCTAAGACATAAAAACAAACCATAAATCTGGGTGCCTCTAGATCTTTGTTGTGTCACTCATAAAACAGCACCTCTAAGCACCCAGATATGCAATGAGTAGAAAGAAGTAAACACAGCTTATATTTTAAGACCTTTGGCTTGGTTGCACTGTCTTGAAAGCAAGTATGTAGTTTTCTTTCCCTCCCCTCCTTCCTTCCTTCCTCCCTCCCTCCGTCCCTTCTTTCTTTCTTCCTTTCTTTCTGATTTTCGCTCTTGTTGCCCAGGCTGGAGTGCAGTGGTGCCATCTCTGCTCACCGCAACCTCTGCCTCCCAGGTTCAAGCGATTCTCCTGCCTCAGTCTACCGAACAGCTGGGATTAGAGGCATACACCACCACGCCTGGTTGATTCTGTATTTTTAGTAGAGACAGGTTTCTCCATGTTGGTCAGGTTGGTCCCGAACTCCCCACCTCAGGTGATCCACCCACCTCAGCTTCCCAAAGTGCTGGAATTACAAGCATGAGCCACCGCGCGCGGCACAGCAATTTACCCACAGACATTTCCCCCTTGTTCTATTCTCCTGTGTTGGCAGAATGCCTTGAGTGAGAAATTTGGCTTAGGAGAGAAGTGAAGACTCAAGTCTTTAACCAGTATGACTCACTCTGAACTGTCTTGGCTCTTACCCTAGGGTGAGCTTACAGTCATTTACTTTGAGGAGCCCGAGACCCCAAGAGGAAATTACCTCTGTTTTCTCCAGTTTATATCAATGGACAAACAGTTGATTCACTTTATATCGAATAGGTGGATGGGCATGGGTTGAACCTCACTTGGGAGGAACACCAGAGCACGGCAGGGTGTGGACTGGGTAAGGAGGGTTCTTTCATGGTCATCCCTCTCTTAAGCATCAGAAGCACATGGAGACATCAGCCCATGATTCAGGTTGCTCACTTTCCATAGCTGTGGCTTTCCCCGTGGTTCCTGGGGCCCCAACCAGATTGGTCAAACTATCAACCCATTTGGATTGGTCAAACTATCACTCCGAAGAAGAACGACTGTTTCAGCCAGAGAACCAAGCTGACCCAAGATGCTTTGTCAAACTGCTCAACCCTCATTGCATTACATTGAACTCAGCCCAGGGATGACAAGTGAAAGAAGGATGGGAAATGAAGGAAGAATGACAAGTGAAAGAAGAACCTGAATTCTACTTCCGTTACCTTGGAATCTTACTGGGGGCAGGACCTGTTTATGTCTTGGTCTGTTCTCTGTCTCTAGCAAAATACTTCATTTAGTTCACCCCCTGTATCATATTTCTTCTCTGGTGACTGCTGCTTAATGCTCAAACTCAACTAAAATATCCTTTCCTCTGTGAGGCCTTCACTAATTCTCCCAGGCAGAGTTGTGAACCTCTTACCCATCTTATATTCTAGAACATCAATAAGCAACAGCATTCTAGTGATCTGCTTAAATGGCCATCTTTCTAACTAGAAGACTGTGCATTACTTATCAACGTACCCCCAATCAATGTATCCTCAATTAAGTAGGTGCTTAATAAACATGAAGTGACTGATTAAAACCCCTGACAGGCTAATGGGTGGTATTAAGGAGACTAGGGCCACATCCTATCCTGGTCTTCAACAGGACATCCTTCAGTTCCAGACTAGAAGGATATTTGGTGTGGAGCAAAGTGATCGTCGATCCAATCTAACAGTAAATAGGTAGTTTCTGTATGTCAGGCACTGTCAGGTAAAGAGAAGAATAAGCTCTTCCTTAAATGAACACAAGGTGAAGTGGTGCAGTTGATTTAGAAGACAGTTTTGCAATTCCTCAACAAGTTAAACATAGAGTTACCATATCACCCAGTAATCCCATTCCTTGATATACACCCAAGAGAACTGAAAGCATCTACACAAAAACTTGTACACAAATGTTCATACCATCATTATTCATAATAGCTGGAGGTAGACGCCAGGCACAGTGGCTCACGCCTGTAATCCCAGCCCTTTGGGAGGCTGAGGTGGGTGGATCACAATGTCAGGAGTTTGAGACCAGCCTGACCAACACAGTGAAACCCCATCTTTACTAAAAATACAAAAATTAGCTGGGTGTGGTGGCACATGCCTGTAATATCAGCTACACAGGAGGCTGAAGCAGGAGAACTGCTTGAACCTGGGAGGCGGAGGTTGCGGTGAGCTGAGATCGTGCCATTGCACTCCAACCTGGGCAACAAGAGTGAAACCCCATTTCAAAAAGAAAGAAACAACCCAAATGCCTGTCAACTAATGATAGATGAACAAAATGTATTCAATAGTACAGATGGCCCTCCAATAACGTTGTTTTATTAGAATGTTGATGAGAAAAAAAAAATCAACTCCCAGCTGAAAGTTTGCACCTTCTCTCCACATCTGCATGGGTTTTCTCTAAGCACTTCAATTTCCTTTTGCATTCCAAAGATGTGCACATTATGTTCATTGGTGTGTCTAAATTGCCCCAGGATGATAGGGGTGTGTGTGTGTGTGTGTGTGTGTGTGTGTGTGTGAGAGAGAGAGAGAGAGAGAGAGAGAGAGAGAGAGAGACTGAGAGAGAGAGAGAGAGAGACTTACAATGGAATGATGTCCTTTTTGGGACTGGTTCCCAGTTGGTGTGCTGAGCTGCTAGATAGGCTCCCATCACCTGAGATCTTAAACTGGAATAATAGGGCAAATAATTATTTTACTTGGTTTTATCAATCTTTCAAGAGTGTACATATAGCTCACATTTATTTCCACCTTTAATGTTAGAAATGTTGGCCAGGCGCTGTGGCTCACACCTGTAATCCTAGCACTTTGGGAGGCCGAGGTGGGTGGATCACCTGAGGTCAGGAGTTCAAGACCAGCCTGGCCATCATGGTGAAACCCCACCTTTAAGTATATATATATATATTAGAAATGATTTTGCTCTTTATTTAGCAGTTTGGTGATGTTTTCGTGACCAAAAATATGCTGTAGGAAATTAATTGTTGTTTATTCAATTCCTTTATGGGAACATTGGGGGTTTTTATACATCATTTTGCTTAAAGGTTGCCATTTCAAGAATCTATCAATGAAAAAAAAAAGAATCTATCAATGACAATAAGTGAGAATGTACTGTATATCCATATAATGGAATATTATTCAGCCATAAAATGAAGTACTGATAAGTGCCACAATATGGATAAATCTTGAAAACATTATGATATGCGAAAGATGCCAGAAACAAAAAGCCATACACTGTATGATTCATTTATATGAAATATTCAGAACAGGCAAATCCATAGAGACAGAAAGCATATTAGTGGCTGCCAGGGGAAATGAACGGTGACTGCTTAATGGGTATGAACTTACATTTTGGGGTGATGAAAATATTCTGCAATTAGATAGTGGTTATGGTTATACAACTTTGTGAACATGCTAAAAACTGCTGAATTGTTAAAGAAAATTCACTGCATGCTTTCTAAGAATACCTACATTCTGAAAGTATAGAAACCATCACTAAGAAAAGTGTTGGCTAAATCCGAAGGAATAGTAGCTAAAAGTGTAAAGGAACTTTTCTAAGCCTGTAAAAGCAGTAAAATGTGGCTCCTACCTTCAGCAACCCAGAAAGGATTTAGTTTTTAGATCTGTATTGTTCAACTGGATGTTCTAAGATGATGGAAATGTTCTTTATCTGAGCGATTTAATATGGAAGCCACTAGGCATATATGGCTATTGGACACTTAAAATGTGATTAGTGCAATTTGAACAACTGAATTTTAAACTGTGTCAGAATTCAAATAGCTGCATGTGGTTAGTGGCTATCATACGGCAGTGCAGCTTTTGCTGGTTTGGAGGACTAGCACCATTTTAAATGGCAGTTTGGAAGAATGCTGGCGGTCACGGGAGAGGGAAACTCTGTATCTTTATGTCTCACAACCCAGATCAACCCTGTATCCACTAGACACACTTCATGAGATCTCACTGCTCCCACCGTTC